TCCCCTCTTAATTTTGAAAACTTCTATTTAAGTTTCCTCTTAACCTTCTCTGCTCCAAGGAGAATAATCCTAGCTTTTCTCGCCTCTCCTGATAACTGGAGTCCCTCATTCCTGGTACCATCCTGGTAAATCTCCTTTGCACCCTTTCCAATGCCTTGACATCCTTCCTAAAGTGTGGTGCCCAGAACTGAACACAATACTCTAACTGAGGCCTAACCAGGTGTTTTATAAAGATTCATCATAACTTCCTGAGTTTTGTATCCTATGCCCCTATTTATTAAAAGATTAGTATCTGCTATGATTTTTTTTAAAAACAGCTTTATCTACCTGTCCTACGCTTTCAAAGATTTACTTATATGAACCCCAGGTCTCTATTCCTTCATCTCCTGTAAGATTGTACCATCAGCTTACATTGCCTCGCCTATTTCTTCCTCCCAAAGTGCATCATTTCGCATTTCTCCACATTAAACTTTATCTGCCATATGTCTGCCCATTTTACCAGTCTGTCTATGTCCTCTTGCAGGCTGCTACTATCCTCCTCACCATTTACTACTTTTCCTAGCTTAGTATCATCTGCAAACTTGGAAATTGTACTCCCTATACCCAATTCCAGGTCATTTATACAGATCAAAAAGAGCAGTGGTCCTAATATCGACCCCTGAGGGACACCACTGTATACTTTCCTTCAGTCAGAAAAACAATAGTTCATCACTACTCTCTGCTTTTTGTCTCCCAGCCAGTCCTGTATCCATGATGCCACAGTCCCTTTAATACCGTGGGCTTCTATTTTGCTTACAAGTCTCTTATGTGGCACTTTATCAAACGCCTTTTGAAAATCCATATAAACTACATCAACTGCACTACCTTCTCTGTTACTTCATCAAAAAACTCTATCAGGTTTGTTAGACACGATTTGTCTTTAACAAATCCATGTTGGCTGTCCTTTATTAACCAATATTTTTCTAAGTGAAAAATTATTTTGTCCTGGATTATAGACTCTAGAAGTTTCCCCACTACTGACATTAGGCTGACTAGCCTATAGTTCCCGGGTTTATCCGTCTGACCCTTTTTGTACAGGGGGTAACGTTTGCAACCCTCCAGTCCTCTGGGACAACTCTGGTGTCCAAGGAGATTGAAAGATTGTGGCCAGAGCCTCCGCTATTTCCACCATTACTTCTCTCATTAACCTAGGACGCATCCCGGCCAGACCGGATGACTTATCTACCTTGAGCACCTCAACGTTTTTAGTACCTCCTCTCTGTTTATTCTTATCTTATCCAATTTCTCTACCCTCTCTTCCGATACTGTGGCATTGGCTGCATCCTCTTCTTTTGTGAAGACAGATGCAAAGTACTCATTCAATACGTCAGCTATGCCCTCTGCCTCCACAAGAAGAATTCCTCTTTGGCCCCTAATTGGCCCCACCCTATCTTTGACTAATCTTTTATACTTTATATGCTTATAAAATACCTTAGGTTTCCTTTTTATGTTATCTGCTAATCTTTTCGCATACAATCTCGTTACCCCTCTTAATTCCTTTTCCAGTTCACCTCTGTATTTTTTATATTCTTTTTGATTATCTTCCGTATTTTGGACATGACATTTATCATAAGCCTCCTTTTCCTGTTTTATTTTAATCCCAATTTCCTTATAATAATAATAATCCTTGCATTTGATATAGCGCTTTTCACGTAGGGAGGACGTCCCAAAGCGCTTCATCCAGGGAGGTTTGGATGCTCTACCTTTCCCTTTTGTGGCAATATATTTGTTCTGTCCTCAAACTATCTCCTCCTTGAAGGCTTCCCATTGCTTGTTATCTGTTTTACCTGACAATCTTTCTTTCCAGTCCAACTTGGTTAGGTCTCTTTTTAACTCACTGAAATTAGCCCTCTTCCAGCTGAGTATCTCCATCTTTGATTGTTCCTTGTCCCTTTCAATAAGTACTTTAAACCTAGTGATGATGTGATCATTGTTGTCCAGATGCTCTCCTACTGAAACCTGCTCCACTTATCCCACTTCATTCCCCAGAACTAGACCCAGCACTGCTTCCTTCCTCGTTGGGCTGGAAATATATTGATCCAGAAAGTTATGTGGCACACATTTCAGGAATCCTTCCCCCTCCTTACCCTTTACACTATTATTTTCCAGTCTATGTTAAGATAATCGAAGTACCCAATTATCACTACTCTATTGGTTTTGCATCTTTCTAAAATCTGCTTGCAGATTTGCTTGTCTATCTCCTCCCCACTGTTTGCTGGTCTTTAGGATGCATCTTTCTGCTACTTAACGCTAACCAAATAGATTTTGTTTTTGGACCCTCTCGCGTATCATCCCTTTCCAGGGCCATAACCATGTATTTAATCAATATTGCCACCCCTCTTTTTTTTACTTCCCTAACCCACCTAAATAGGTTGTAGCCAGGAATATTCAGCCTAATCCCTGCTTTTTCTGGACTACTCCTTATTCCGTTGCTATTCATCTCTCCCAGCCCTCTACGTAACTTTTTTCTCCTTTTTGACACTACATCCTGATTCCCTCCCCTCCTCGAAATTAGTTTAAAGCCTTCCCCATCTACTAGTTAAATTGCCTGCGAGGACTTTGGTTCCATCCCTCTTCAGCCATCCACCTTTAATAATAATAATAATAATCCTTGTATTTGATGTAGCACTTTTCACGTCTTCTAGGTGTCTCAAAGCGATTCACAGAATAGTCTGTAAAGTGAATTGACTGTAAACAACTGAGCTACAGGACTCCACAGGACTACAGTCTGTACTTGAATATTACGGCCTCTGGATAAACAGATCATCAGGACAGGTAACTATTAATTGGAAAAGGTGTGGTCGAAGAGGAGGGTCTTGAGATGTGCCTTGAAGGAGCCATGGGAGGGAGTGAGGTGAAGGAAATGTGGGATGGCGTTCCAAAGGGTGGGGCCAGAGAGGTTAAAGGCCTGACCACCAATGGTGGGGCGGGCCGGGCAGGCGATGTGGAACAGACCTCAGCCTGCTGAACGGCGGGAGCGGACAGGTTGATATGGGGTCAGTAGATAGGAAGGAGCAAGGCCGTGTAGGGCCTTGAAGGCAAAGATGAAGGTTTTGAACTCTATCCTCTGGGGGATGGGGAGCCAGTGGAGCCGGGCGAGGGTGATAAGGTCACAGTTTGGGTTCACTAGTTCTTTTATTTAAACCTTACACTTCCACAATCTGCCCAGTCACTGTCCCGGAATCCTTTTATACTTGCTTGCTTCTCATTGTCAATATCCAATTGCCAATTAAGTCATTAAAGCAATATGCAATGGACATGAGCTGCAGAGTTCTGGATGATCTGCAGCTTGTGGAGGGAAGAGTTGGGAAGGTCAACAAGCAGGGAGATGGCGTAGACGAGCCTAGATGTGATGAACGCGTGAATGATATTGGTGTGATGTGGTGTGTTACTCATCATTGGTGATAATGAACACATCACATGCCACAATTTCCATCCTTAAAGGAAGAGTTGTACAACATTATATTTGTGAACCTTGCCTTAGTACACTGCAGATTTCAGGTTTATGTGGTTTTAATATTTCAGTTTCTAGTTTCGAAAATGTTCATCCTGTTTTATAATGATTTCGGCACTCAATTTAAGGAACACTATGGCACTTAAAACTAATGTGAGATGACGTGAGAATGACTCACACTCTTTACCACCGAGCCCAGTAATGGCCTGAAGAAAAATATTAACAAAGTAGACTGACCACGGTTTTATTTCATAAACAGTGCAAAAAAACTGTTTATATTTTGCACAATAAGGTAGCCATGAACATACTGATGTAAATGATAAAAGTACAAGAAATGAAAAAGGCACGCAATAGAAGTGGAAGATACTAGGGTGCATATTCTGTGTATATATGCATACTCCCCTTGCACATTACATGCCATTCCAGCTAAATGGGTAAATAATCTTTTTCCAGTCCTTGGACACGAGGGTCTGTTATCCTCCATGTGTAAACTACAGAACGTGTAACTGCAATTGTTTTAAGTGAACCACTGGGAAATAAATCAAAATCCCACTCTAACTCTTTCGCCTCTTGCTTAGTAAATGCCTTACTCCAATACAGTACCTCACCTTCATGGTCAACCAGGGGCAGATAAGGACTCACTTGAGGTAGATATCAGGATTATATGTGAACCCATGAGGAAGGTATCAATTCTTGCAGCGTGTGTCATTACATCAACAGACTCTAATATATTTCAGTCTTTTTCTTTTGTAACCTATCTTTCCTCTTCCCCAACTAAGGTGTTCAATTTTGCAAGTGGAGCATTCCTCAAGCCCACATAATGCATTGCAAAGCTTTTTAGCTGTTTAAACTCTAGCAGGTACCCCCAGCCCCACACTCTGGGGTCTCCAAGCCTTACCTCTTGCCAACCTGTGACTATTTGTTTTTACAAGATTTGGGGATAGTAAGAGTGCATCCTTCCAGGAAGAGAGTGCAGATTCCATCCCAGACACAAAGCAATGTCCACGTGTAGGTGGGATTAATGTGTGGAACTCTGCAGTCTGGTTTGAATACTCGAGAGCAAAAGACAAAAAAAAAAAAAGTTGGGGAAAGTTTAAAAAGATCGATGGGATCAATAGCAGTGCGGTGGGAATCGACGCCAGAACTAACCTTCCACACTCCTACCTACAGATCATTAACCGATGCTTTCTGCTCGAGGGATTTTTTTTTTACTCCTCTAAAATCGTTTCCCCGTCTTCCTGTTCTTGCTGCACTTGTCAGACTGGGCTCTGACAAAGCGCCCCAGTGCGTGTCCTGCACAAGAAGGTTTCAGTCTTCACTTAGTGGCCAGTAATTGTGTTCATTATGTTTCAGTGGAAAGTTCAAGACATCTGACTGACGTATGTCATCAACCCACTTCAGCCCCAACTCCAGCTATATATAAGATCCTGGAGAAATCCCCAATGCTCTTGCTTTGTGCATCCTCTCTCTCTCTCTCTCTCTCTCCTTCCCTCCTTCCATCCCTCCCTCCCACAGCACCAGTTGCAGGTGAGTGCATTGACTTACAAACTAACTTCCTTGGTTTTGATGCAAGTTGTTCACCCAAATGTCAGAGGATTGCTCATGCAATCATTACCTCCAGATCTAGTTTGATCTGTCGGGCACTTTTTTTTTTGGGGGGGGAGGGGGGGGAGGGGGTTGAATTGTAGTTAAAATAGTGTTTTCCCACCTCATCTCTTTGTTTCCCAGTTGTTTTATTGTGGGTGTGTACCTTAACCTCTCTGGTGTCTTGTCTTCTGCTGCTGTTGATCCAGTTATCCAGTTGATGTCTAATGAATCCTCATCGCCTGTGCATCCTCGAACTGTAGGGTTTTTTTTTAAAAAATTCTCTCCCACAGTTGGTCTTTGATCAGCCGCTTCATAACCAGCTCCTGCCTTAGATCCCGAGCGCTATGTGTCGCAAGGATTTGTGCAAAGAGAGTCCCAGTGCAACCCCAGCCTGAGTTCCGTGGTGATCAGTTGCAAAAGTCCCCAGGTTTCTGGGGTATCAGTGACTAGTGAATGGACCAGCCCTCTCTCTCTCTCTCTCCCTGCCTCCCTGCCTCCCTCCCTCCATCTCTTTCTGGCACTTATTTAGATCCACGTTCAAATAATCTGTGAAGCTTCTGAACCCAGGCTGCAAGGTCCTGGATCAGTTGCACCCTCTGTCCAGAGGAGAGAGGAGCAGAGAAAGCTGAGGTGGGGTGAGGGCAGAAACAGCACTAGAGATATAACCCTAACCCTAACTCTGGTTATTTATACCAATGGACTCCCAAGTTCAAACCTTTGTTACTGAACGGAGGATGTGCCAGCAATGACACTTCCAATGTGCTTCATTGAGCATGTTTCTAATTCAGTTATTTTAGTAATAATAATAATAATGCATAATAATTGATGCACTTAAATCAAGCTTACTTGTGTATGAATTGATAAGGGCATACAATTATCATGTTCATACCTCCTTATTTTCAGAAACCCTGTGGGCTGCTTGTGAGTTGGGATAACTATGTGCAAATACGCACTGATTTCCTGAATAATGTCATTAACAACCGGCATAAAGGATTAAAATGTACAGTCACTTCACTTTACAATATATCCTGTGAAGCGCTTTGAACCGTCTCAACAATTTGATAACATCAAATGCAATGTTTATTATTCTTACTATTGACTCATCTGTGATTCTTCTCATTGGTTGTTAAATGAAGGACACTTATAATTCTCTCTATGCCTTTACACACGGTTAACACATCCCACAAATAACCCCACTGTCTTGATCAGAAAAGATAAGTGGCCAGACTGTGGCTGACAATAGAACAGCTAAAATGAGCGCGTAACGTTCATCATTGTCAAAGTGGCATCGTGTGTCAATGGCACAATTACTTTGGCACTCCAGACAAACTTATTCACTGTATTGCAATGTTTGGTAGGACTTTTTTTGTGTAAACAAAGGATTTCTATTATTTTTGAATTTCCTTATTCCCTCAGTTTGCCTAGAAGACCATCGCACCATTTTGATGGGTAAACTCTGTAACTCATGGCCATCCATGAATCAGCAGCAAGGACACAAGAGCGCGAAGCTGGCTGCTATATACATGATCATGCTACTTCTGTCTGTGAATGCCAGAGCTGCCCAGAGCAGAGGCTTGAGCCATCAGATCGACAACAGAAGTAAGTACAATACCTCAAAAAAGCAAGTACTACTCAAGTCTACTGGAAGGTTACTCATTGTGTCTAATTGAATACAACAACAAAAAATACCTTTGTGAGGCTCCTCTCACATCAGGAGGAAGTCTCAAGGCTCTGAATACAAGCAGTTCGGAAGTAAGGTAGTAATGAGCATTGGAAGGCAAAATCAAACTTTTAATAACTTTATAAGATCAGCATCAGTTAGCAGGCTGTTGTGTATGTTCTCAGTTCAGCATATGCATGATACTAGGTGAGAGAGATTGAGATAAATGAGTATAAACCAAAACCAAAAAAACAAAAATAAAAAATTGGTCATTTTCAATCTACGACTGTTTGTGGGACATTGCTGTGCGCAATTGGCTGCCGCGTTCGCCCACAAATATACAGTCAATTCACTTTACAGTGAAGCGCTTTGGGACGTCCTCCCGACGTGAAAAGCGCTATATCAAATGCAAGATTATAAGGATTATTATAAATCCTGCATCCTTCACTCTACTGCTAGAAGATATTGCATTGTTTGATACTGAATAAAGTAAAATATATCCAGATCTCAATGACTTCAACACTGGGTTATTTGAGATGACTTGGAACTTGAAAAGGTTCCAGAAATATAATCAGATTGACTGGACTCAGTGACATCTCAATAATAAAAGATGACTATAGTTTGCCCATTCTTTCCTTGAAACTCAAGAAATGTTTTGCTCACATTAGATTTAGGAATCGAGGAGCTGAAACCAGTTTAGTGTCAGAACTCAAATGCACTTATTCATACCTTGCAAAAACCCCTCTATTCCCACCCTCACCAGACATCTTGATTCCTTAAACGTATTATTATAAAATCTTTGCATTTGAAATAGCACCTTATCCCATCGTAGAAAAGTCTCAAAGTGATTTACAGGATTATTACTATTTAGTGAGGTGATTGTATAATTGTTGGTGAATGCATTAGCTCCGGCTTCTGTTTCACTCCTTAAACATTCAGGTCACTGGAGAAAGAGGAAGTCCCATTCATTCTCTCAGTCTCAAAGATGAATAATGGTCTGGTGTTTCACAACAACAACAACAACAACAAGATTCCATTTATAGAGCGCCTTTCACGTCGGGAGGACATCCCAAGGCGCTGTACAGTTGGGTCAGGACCCGAGCAGGGGGGAAATGGTCAGGGTGAGGGGAGGGAAGGGAGGGAGCGAGGAGGGGGTAGAGAGTCGAGAGGGGAGCTGAAGGCACGGTCAAAGAGAAAGGTCTTGAGACCGGCCTTGAAGGAGGAAAGGGAGGAAGCGGCGAAGGCACTGGGGGATAGAGTTCCAGAGCCCAGGAGCTGAGAGGCTGAAGGCCTGGCCACTGATGGTAGGGCGGTTGGGGCGGGGGATGTGGAGCAGACCGGAGCCAGAGGAACGGAGGGTACGGGCAGGTAGATAGGGGGATAGTAGGTCGGAGAGGTAGGAGGGAGCGAGGCCGTGAATGGCCTTGTAGGTGAGGATGAGGATCTTGTATTCGATCCTCTGGGGGATGGGGAGCCAGTGGAGGCGAGCGAGGGTGGGAGTGATGTGGTCGCGAAGCCTGATGCGGGACAGTACACGAGCTGCAGAGTTCTGAATGACCTGCAGCTTGTGGAGGGAGGTTATTATTCGCACACCACTGTCAGACACAGTTCAAATCTGTTACTGAATTAATAGAATCAGAGGGCGTGTTATTAATGACACCTCTTATAACCTAATGCTTCAATTGACTGGAGGAAGCAGAGATACAGAAATACAAAGAATGAGAGTAAACAGCAGCAGCGCAGAGGCAAGTCGATCTGTATTCTTCAGCATCTAAATTAACATCACTGCCGTTCAAACTATTCTGGAAATCGTTTCAAAATTATATGTCAGAGATATTTTAAAGTTTTTAATGAAAATAAAACGTCTAACTTTTCTCACTTGTACACACTAAATGGCTTCAAAACAACACTTCATCAAATGACTAACCCAACAATGCTCTGTAACTAATTATTCTGTGCTGAGGCTAGTGATAGTTAATGCAAGTAAACCGGTAATTTCTTAATCATTTTAACTTTTCTCTCTATTATAACTTTTCCTGCCTTTCTCAATTTTATTGATACCATTGTGATCCTTTACTTCTTTAACTTTCTTCCCTTGTGCTAGTCAGGCTCCAAATACATTGTCTACATCTGTCACAGCTGCTAGGTTCTTCTTGTTAATATAATGGGTAGGGATGGAAATCTAATGAAGAAGTAGACAAAATTTAACATGCAATTTCGACAGGGAAACTGGCAAACAAATTGAGAAGTACATTTATTGGGGAACAATTGTAGACCATTGCAATGGAAGAGATCACCAATAATTCTTTAATACATTTCCTCTTCCCGAGTACCCTACACAGTGCTGTGTGCACAGTCAATTCAGAACATAAGCATTCTGTTGAAGGAATCCACTAACTAGAGAAAGAAGACCTTCAAAGGGGGAACCAGGACTGAAGTGTATGAGGCTCCATGACACAACTCACTTGAAAGGCACTATACAAATGAAAGTTGTTGTTGTTGTAATAACACATTATTAAATGCACAAGGTACTAGGTTATTTCTTTATTTTGCTCAAGACACATACTTCATTCAGTTTGTTTGCCTGATATCAAGTTACACAGCAGAACAGAGGTAACCAGTTAAATCATCCCCATTAAAAGCGTATTCGCTTTCAATCATCCTGCCATGCTACTTGGTCATGGAAGGCAGAGATAGCTTAATTTAGAGGTCTATACTGTGCATAAATTTTACACAAAAAAAACTTGCTTCAAATAGACGTGTTTTGTTTTTGCTGAGCGTTCAATTACATTGGCCTTGACTTGCAGATTCAGAAATTGACCCTTTCTGGTATGTGGATCGTGGAGTGCGACCAATAGGCCGGTTTGGGAAAAGACAGGTGAAAAGCAACAGGAGCCCGAGACCGGCTGTGAATAATCTGGAGTGGATTCTGAGTGCCTTGAGAGAAGAGGATGCATTCAACTCTGACCAGCAGCAAGGGGGGGAAGACACTTACTGACACGCTCGGCATCTGAAAGGCAAAGGCAGGATTCCTTCCCTACCTCACTCTTTGTATCTGTCTACTTGACAATGTGCTTCTCAACTTGGTCTTTGTAACATCAAAAAACAGATCTCTAATTACAGTACGTGATGACCACTGATTGCTTATTCGTGTCTTAATGGCATTCTATTTCAATAATTTAAACATGTAATATTGTGTTTCCAAAACATTGGTGTTACTTTAAAGATCTTACTTTATTTTTTAATGCTTTTGTAACAAACATTAATATCCAAACCATATTAAATAAACAAAAAGGAAATCTCACAGAGTTGTCAAAACCAGATTTAATTGTGGACTTATCCATTCATTTTTCAAAAACATTGAAGGCGAGTAACAATTTATTTTAAAGGCATCTCATAAAGCTTGTAGCAGCACTTTAAAAGGCATTCCCAAATTACTGTTAATTTTATATATTAACACATTATTCAGTGCCCTATGAGAAATACAGCAAGGCCTTTAAAGTCAATTGAAGGGGCATTAGCTTCGTAAATAGTTTTGAACATTTGCATTTGCAAAATTTATGTAATGTGTCATGTGAATGTGGACAAACAGGAAAAGGTTCACCCCCCCTGATCATTAAGACACTGGACCCTGAAGGTCAGCTACAATAAGATGCCGCCTCTGCCAGTGCTAATCAAAACCTTTGTATTTTCTATAGTGGTTTCTTTCATTTCAATTCTATAAAGTATATCCTGCATTTAAAATGCTCCCTTAAGCTCACAATCTGTATGCTCCTTCGTGTACTGCAATGACTGTTCAGTGTACAACTAGTGTCTTTATGCCATAGCTTCAAATCAAGCCTTTAATCCTGCTGACAAGTCAATATAAGCAAAATAAAGACTGTCACCTTAAAGTTGGGCTCAGAGGAATTCTGAAAGATAATGTGCAGCCATCACAAAAAAAAGTCAGCACAATATTATCGGCACACTTCCCAAAGCAGTCGTTAAGTAAACCACTGTCATTCAATGGCGCAAAGGAGTTTCTACACCAAATATTTCTTTATTCTAAATATTATGACAAAATCCAAAGGATGTTTAACAATCAAATGTGAAAATAGATGAACTTTTTCACTTTGCTTCAGAAGAATTGACTTGAAGAAGACTTAAGCACAACAGTTAAACACTAATACACTAATGTCCTTTAAAATAAAATATTATTGAAATAATATTTGTGCTTGTTCTGTACAAATATGGGGCTATTGCCTTTCTTGCCCATTCATGCATTGAACCCTTGGACTGACTAGCAGCACATGCTGGAAGTTGAAACATTAAATATACGGTACTTTGAATGTAACACCGATATGTAAATCAGAAATACTCAAATGCTGATGTTTTTCTGTCTTGATGAATGGAAAAGTATTTGTTTGCCTTCTTGCTATTTGTGCATCTTTTCCTTTCTGTTACACAGCAAGCTTTTAAATATAAATCTATCTAAAGTGCATTTTTAAATGTAGTTGTTTGTTGTATTCTATCATCGTTGGGGATTTTCAGTGTAACATTGTGTACTGAAGAACATAATAATAATAATAATAATCCTTGCATTTGATATAACGCTTTTCACTTCTTCTAGTCGTCTCAAAGCGCTTCACAGAATATACTGTAAAGTGAATTGACTGTATATTTGTGGGCGAAATGCGGCAAAACATTGTCAGTAATTGCACAGTATTAAGAGTCAAGGCTTAGAGACTCCAGGGTATGCAATGCTGCAGTTTAACCAACTAAAACTGCTTACCATTGAGGGAGCACTGTCTGGCAAGCTTCCCACTGCTTGTCCCTACAACCTGTAAGAGCTTTGGCTTAGAGAGTTAACGGGAAATGAGTGGGAAGAATATCTGTCCCCAGTAGCTGGTCTGCCCCTCCAAGTCCTGCCGATGAGCCAGGCTTGCTGATCTGTCAAAAGTACACTGAATAGTGTGGACCCTCCTGGCTCAGGAGTCGGACTACTGAAGCACCAGAGATGGTCAAATTGATTCTGATGTCCTATTGCACAGCACTTCGGAGCAATTCAGCCCTGCTTAGACTCCCTCCCCTCAGAGAAAACCAGGATTCTTTTCCAGTAGCTTATAATCCCTCTAGTTTTACCCAGTTAGACCATTTTCTCTTAAAATTTCTCTAAAAATAAGATTGCGGAAAATTCTTAAATACAGCCTTAATTTGGAAGCTGATTTTCTGCAGTTCTTAAAATATATGGCCTTCCAAAATACTAATAATAATCCTTAATAATTATAATAATCCTTGCACTTGATATAGTATCTTAACACGTCATCGAGAAGTCTCAAAGCGCTTCACAGAATATACAACAACTTGCATTTATATAGCACCCTTCACACAGGGTAGCTTCCCGGAGCGCATACAGTCAATATACTATAAAATGAATTGACTGTATATTTTGTGGGCGAAAGACAGCAGCCTATTGCACATAGCAGTGTCCCACAAACAGTCGTGGATTGAGTGACCAAATTGTTATTTTATTTATTTGTTTATTTATGAAGGGATTAATACCCCCAGAAAGTGATCTGCCAGGTCCCTACTTACTGCTCGGTAAACAGAGGCATGTGGAGCTCCTTCTCTTCCTATTTTCAGGTATCTGTTGAAGACCTTTCTCTTCGACCGCGCCTTTGGTCAACTTCCTCCCCCTCCCCCTGGCTCAGCCCCGGGATCCGTTACTGTGAAGCGCTCTGAGACGCCGTCCGGCGTGGAGGGCGCTATATAAATCCAAGTTGTTGTTGTTGTAAGGAAACTTGCCTAAGGTTTCGCCCCACCCAGGAATCAAGCCCAAGTCCTCTTGCTAGTGAGGCGAATGCTCTAACCACTAAGCTACAGGACTCCACAAATATTATTAGGACTCTATAATATTCAATCTAAGAATTTTCCCCAATTCTACACTATTTTAAATTTTACAGAATAGGACTATGTAGAAATTTAGCCCTCTGATCTCTATTCAGTCACATTTTCTGGAAGGTGCAAATGAATAGATTTTGGGTGTGGACATGCTGTGGCTGGTCAAACATTTATATAGAACTTTTCACACGGGTAACATCTCATAGCACTTAACAGTGGTGAAGTTTGATGCCGAGTCGGGGAGAATGGGGAAATGATCATGGAAACGGTCGAAGAGGAAGGTCTTCAGGTGAGATCTGAAGATGGGCAAGGAGGGGGCAATGTGGAAGGATTGAAGTAAAGAGTTCCATAGTTTGGGGACATAGTAGCTAAAAGCATGGCCACTGATGGTGAAACATAGGTGAATAGGGATGTGCAGGAGGCCGGAGCCAGTTGAGGGGGAGGGTATAGGAGTGGGGTGTAAACAAGTAGTAGAGGTAGGGAGATGCTAGGGAGTGAAGTGATTTGTGGAGTGATAGCCTGCCAGCACTCACTGTCAGCACTCACACATAAATAACGGTCACTTGAACAGATCGCTGTTCAAGGAAGATGCCTGGTGCACGTGTAACTGTGTCTCTGTAAAAAGAAAAGTGAGTTAAATCGTATCACAGGAGGAGGAAGAGTTTTGTCTGGCAAGTTTTCCCGCTGCTTGTCCAGCTAGGACCACCTTACCGGTTAGGGCTTTGGCTTGAAGAGTTAACAGGAGCTGATGGGATGACTCCCTGCCCCCAGTAACTGGTCTGCCATAAAAACAACTAGAAGAGACAAACCTACAGGAAAAATATGTAATTAAACAACAACAAGGATCAACAATGTTCATCTTCTGCCTCTTTTGGATTGATTCTGAACAGTGTTGCTGTAGTGTAATAGGCAGTGAATACAGGACTACAGGTGGGGTTAAAAACTAAAGACGGGAAGTTCTTCATAATGAAGATTTCCATAAAGGAACCCACCAAATCTCAGAGTCTGTTCTCTTCCCAAAGCCTTAAAATAACCCTCATTCCCACATGTAAAGATGGAGAAGTGTACAGTATACACCTTGGGAACAAAGAAGCTCTATTTTACCTAGATGTCAACTGTGGTCTAACTTAGACCAGCAGTTCTCCTTGCTAGAAATTTTCTTTCACTGTATTTACTCTGAAAACAGTGGAAACCATGAAAAGTACACCATCAATCTCGGTTGATCTGCACAATGTGGCAGTAAACCATGGTGGAGCTCCTCTGCTGAGACCACCTGGAGAACCAGTTTCAACAGGGATTGGATTTCAGAGTTCTCCGCACTCTGTTTCCTGCCTCCCAACCAATTACCAATCCATTAACACCGAAGAGGAAAAAAGGACTGCAGGATTACTGACTGGAAGACTGCGCTGGTGAGAAGGGAGCTGAGCAGGGTGGGGAGGGGGAAAAAGGTTACTGAAACGATAGTCAAAAACTTAAAAGTCTTAAGGTGGACTTTAAAGATAAAGAGGAGGGACCCTGGGAGGGAAAAATGACCAAAAACACAAAGATAGCAAACTGTATGTACATCCACTTTTATTTTCTGAGCCCATTTTTTAAAACATGTTACAATACTTGATTATTGATACAGACTTTGATTAGAAATATATGGCACATTATTAAAACATCTCTTCTCACAGATAGTATGGCATTCCTTCAACATTCACAGATACTTTAGTACATGGGATGAACTTTTTTTTAATGTTTTCTATTTTTTAAATCTCCAGAAAAAACATCACGAGCAACGTAAGATATATCTCAATGCCGTGCTTCATTCAGTGGATTGCATTTGAAATGTATTAACACCCAAGTAGATAAAATGACCACATGATAGCTCAGGCTACATCATTGATCAGAGGGTTCTGTTTGTCAGAACTAAGCAAAACAAAATTGACATAGAAACTCCTTATACTTCTTCCATTACATTCAAACTTATCTTTACTAACAATCGCTTGTTAATTCAGTTTATAATCATTTACAAAATAGAAATCTCCCAGCCCCTTAGTATATCCTGTACAATATCATGACTTCTGTGCTTTCAGTGATGATCGTGTCAATTTCTTTCTTACAGATTTGTTTTTAACTGTAAGACACCAGTGATGATCAATTCCCTCTTGCCCCCCATACCCTTCCTCTTTAAGAAAGAGGACAGCATCACATGTAAATGATGCAGCTATCATCGGCAGAAATTGCCCATGAGGTCTGACCATCTGACCTAATGTACCCTCCGGGACATATATGCAGTGTGCAGTTTGTAATCCATTTTATTTAGGAGCAACCGTTATACCTGTCACAATAATTCACGTCAGAACACAATCATCCTTAATAACCAACATTGAGTTCAAAAATATCAATGCATCACTAACACATCAGTAATTAGCAGCAGGAAGAATAGCCTTTGCCAGCTTTGTTTGTTAGTGGTAAGTGAAGGAGACTATGAGATCTTGCAAAGCTGGGATCAGAGGGCACATAATTCTGAGCAGTGAGAAACATATTTGTGTGAAGTCTCACACAGTCTTAGGTCTCGTACTTGAGACTATTATTTGCTCTTTCCTTTTGGCATTCTGTTAGGATTAAAGTAGGATTTTTTGGGGTTTTCTATCAAAATCAATGTTCAGCTTTCCTATGAGGTGCAGTAGAACATATTAAACAAGAATTTCACCCAAACTAAAAATATTAGAGATGTCTTGCAAGCATAGAAATAAAATGAATTAGTTTGGCTGTCAACTAAATGTTCAATTCAACTGCAAGTTTTCTAACAAGCCATTTGTTCCACAAAACTTTTGCTATTAAGATATAGCAAAAACTATGTGTAACATGTAGGGATTCACAGAGGAAATGCTGGTTATTTAGGAGGCAATTTTGTCAGTGGTACTTGGTGGTGATGCCAGTAAAGCGCTTTTAGATCCCAAATAATAATAAATTATGATCCTTGTATTTGGTATGAGTCCTTATTGCATTGAAGCATCTCAAAGAGCTTCACAGAGTTTTCTGTAAAGTCAAGATTGTGTATTTGTAGGCAAATGCAGCAGCTAATTTGCCTAAAAGCAGCTAGGAAGTGAATAACATAGAATTAAGACTAAATGCTACAGCATGGAAATAGGCATACAGTCCAACCAAATGCCAGTGTTTATACTCCACCCCTCCTAATCCCACTCCAATACCCCTATTTTCCCTTCTCTCTTGTGCATACATCAAAGTTTCTTTATAAATACTGTATGTTGATTCTTTTGCTTAAACCATAGTTTTCAGCAGTGAGTGATCAGTTTTAATCGCAGAATTGTTGTCCAGGATAACTCTCCTTCTCTTTTTAAATAGTATCATGGGTTCTATATTATCTGTATGAACAAGCAGATGGAACTTTGCATTAACATTTCATCTGAAATATGGCACCTCTGACAATGCACTGAAGTATTAGACTAAGTACTAGACTTGCAATCTTTTGACATGGAGGTGAGAATGCTTCCAAATAAGCCAACCGGACACCTCATCAACATGTGTGGCTAGCTCAGTCTGTACATGTGCTGTCTAGTGATTGCTGCAGTTTCAGTCATTTGGGATGAAAAAGTGCTTCTGAGGAAGGCATTGGTGCAGCCTCAGGGTATAAACTGCATTTTCTGCAGGGAATCCCATGTACGCTAAAATTGTAAGGTACGTTTGGCACAAGGAAAATTGGTCATTTCATTGCAGCTTTCCAGCAGTAGATTGGATAATAATAAGAATAATAATTCTTGCATTTAATATAGTGCCTTACTATGTTGTTCAGACTGTTTTACAGGATTTCCTATAAAGACTATGAATTTTGGAAATATGGCAGCCTATTTATGCATAGGAGTGGCCCACAAACAACCATAAAGTGAATGACCAATTTTATCCAGGCATTTTTTGGTCAGGGCACAAGAAGAAAAGCCGTTCTCTTTCAGAATATTGCAATTGAGTCTTTAACATCCACCTGAACAGGATTGGTTTAACATCTCAAAATAAAGTGGGACTAAATATTGAGCTGAAGTGTCTGCTGTGGAATTGCTGCTCTTTCATGCCTACTCTTCCATCATTTCTTTCTGAAACTCGTTTACAGGTTTTCCTTGTCTTTTTTTTGTCCAATTCTATGATTCTGATCTTTGGCCCCACAAGTGAGGCGATTGCTCAATTCTCCTATAACATTTCACAAAACGATTATGTTTCAAAAACAATCGACAAACAACATCCCCCTTTTCAATTTTCAAATCCCAGTTTAAATTAAGCTTGATGGATGGGCAAGTTTGGTATGTATATGCGGATATATATATATAATCTATATTTATGACAGAAACAATTCGGTGCATATAAAAATAAATGTACACACCAAAAATAATTTTTATAATAAATAAAAGACTCAATGATTCACGTGATCGCTCTCAGGACCAATCACTGATGAAATGACCGTGCCTGACAACACAGCGGAGGAGCAGTTTACCCCCAAGTTCTTTTGTCACCAATACAACCTTTCTCCAGTTGCATGAGGTAACATAGTTGACAAATCTCTTACAAAGAACCTCAGTTGGAACGACATCAAGTTTGTGCTACCAAACGGAGATAAATCACGCACATAAAGACCACATGGTTTTGTACAGTAAACAAATAAAAGTGCTTTTCAAATGATACTGATCGATGCTGGGAAGACCCCGCCACCACTCTTAATGGTCTCTTGAAATTAAGGCAAAGAGTTTACTGAGAGTAATGTGCAATCCTGAATTGTCACAGAATGAACCCGGGGAGGTATCCGGTTGGAGTCTACTCAGCTGTGAGATTGTGTGTAGTGGCCGGCTCCCGTCCCAGGGAACGGTTTAACATGGCTGTTGAATCAAGGCACTCAAGTGTACAGCCGCAGGCAGTGAGTTGTCAGCAGAGTGGCTTCCTGCTCTCAGTTTAGCACAGATTTCTGCAGCACAGGACAGAGAATCACTGAGTTATAAAACTATTAATAATCCTTGTATTTGTTAGAGCACCAATAATGTTGAAACTTCTTGACATGCTTCACAGAATTTACTGTAAAGTGTAGGCGAACTATATTTGTAGGTGAACGCAGCAGCCAATTTTGTGCACAGCAATGTCCCAAACAGCCATGAAGTGAATGATTAATTTATCTGGGAGATTGTTGGCCAGGACACTGGGACAAACTTGCTTCTCTTTTGCAATAATACCATGGGATCTTTGATGTACACCTGAACAGGCATATAGGATCTCATTTTAATGACTAACCCAAGGATGGCACCTCCAACAATATAGCACTCCCCAGATATGCACTGGTTTTAAATTGTTTTTCACATTTATAGCAGACCCAGATTTCATTTACCAACATAGGATTATGCAGATCACTACTGGTGGGCTCATTCTCAATTGTTTGTATTGGTTTGGCAGAGGTTGTGATGCAGGAATATCATTACTTCTTTTAGACATCATTTGTAACATTAACATAAACTAAATGGAGATTACAGCTACTTGTCAGGGGAAGATGCTGTGTGATATGCTAAGTACCCCAAAGCACACTTTGGGGTCCCCAAGCCTTAGCTCTTGCCAACCTGCGCCCAGTACTTTCCGGAATTAGGTAAGCAGGATGCATGCTTCCAGGGAGAGAGTGCGCATTTCATTCCAACAATATATCTCTGGGATTTCCATGTGTAGGTGGGATGCATGGAAACTTCAGCTTGGTTTGGATACTCTTAAGCATGGTGATGGGTTTCCGCATGTGTCAGACACCCAGCTGACCAAAATAAAATGCTATGCGATGAGATAATTCTCAAATGGAGAGAAAGAAAATGTAATTAAAATGCATCATTAAAAACTGATTTTACACCCCTACCCCAAATGAGGAGGACTGGTTCATCCATTGGTACTGATGATTTAGTATTGGTACCTATTTGTTAATCATGCAGGAGTGGGGCTGCCATTATTCCCAGGCACAAGTACACTGCTTCACTAAATACTGATTTAAGAGTAGAATGGATACTTAAACATTTCAGGACAAACAACAAATAGAAGCTGGTCATTCTCTGCAGCATGTTAATGGTAAACCAGAATTCTCCACTGATTTTTGGGTTGGAAAGTCATTTTTTCCCAATGCTTAAAAGTATCAACAGCGTTTTGAATGAAGAAGGGCTTTCAGCTCATGCAATCTCATTTCTGCAGAATACCCACCCTACCGTCCATCTATTAAAGCATTAAAATGTTTCCTCAAAAAAGACCAAAGAAACAAGTTAGTGCTTCAGGTGGCAGCAGCGACTGAGATTCAAGTCAAAGTCTAAGTGTGCTTCTTCTGTGAGTAGTGCCATACTGAGAAACAGAGTTGAAACATGGAGCAAATCTATGAGGTACAATGCCCCAGTACAGCACATGCAGAATCTGCCAATGCTTCACATGCTCAGTAACAGTAGATTGCAAGAACTGGAAAAGCTTACTGCTGGATTAGTAACAGTGCTTGCATCTCCCTTCGGCATTTGTGGTGGAGGAGCTTCTTGGAACATGCCATTCCTGTGGAATGTCCTGATGGATACGACAGGAACATTGTTAACCACGTCTCCTGTGAAATTTAAACAAATACAAAATACACATCAAAGTGTTTGTGTCAATGTAAATGGCCTCTTCTGAAATGTGGAATAGAGAAGGCAAAGGTTATAGTTCTAGAGATCACACGTTATTCGGCAAAAAATTCAAGTGATCACCCCAATATCATCAATTATACTTTGTAAATGGTATTGTCAGTATACCATTTCCATTGAGATTTATGGCTGACCTGCTATAGGCTTAAAACAAATAGATTGGGGTCTAATTTGATGCCTTAATAATAAATCTCATTGACTGATGGGATTCTGCTCTAGTAGTCGATCATGCCAGAGCCTACATGTTAGTGTAATGTATTTTGAATTACCGTAAGTAATGCCTGTTTGTACAACTTGGATTACTAAGTAATGCTGTTTCAAAAATATTGCAAATTAAACCCTGGTGATGAGGATTCAGGTTGCTGTTTGACTATACTGTTCCCAAGGAGATATTTATTTAGGCCTTTATCAATAAGTAAATTGGCAGAACATCCGCTACTTTCGTGGAAGCCTGTTCCATAATTTCCACTTCAATATGGCAAAAAAATATTTCTCTCATCTCTAGTCCTGTTTGAGGCTTTTTAACAGTCCCAAGTTCTGTTCTCTAGATTTCTAATAGAATATAAGACAGATCTGCCCAAAAATCAATACAGCCCCATAATTTTCAGGAGATAATTAAGCAAATTCATTAAGCAGCTTGGGATGTCCTTTTGATGTGAAAGGCACTGTACAAATGTAAATTTGTAGTGTACTGTATAACATCAAGCAACTAATAGGAAAGATTCAAATTTGGCATGAGGAAATTGCACCTTTAATAATAATAATCTTTGCATTTGATATAGCGCCGTATCACGTCACTGAGAAGTCTCAAAGTGCTTCACAGAATATACTGTAAAGTGGATTGACTGTATTTTGTGTATTTTCCCATCAAAACAAAATGTTCTGCTTTACAAGAAAGTTTATTAAGAATTTTGCAGGCTCAATTATCTTAGTTGCTAAAGCTCAACCAAAGGTTTTTCACCCAAAAGAATTATGAAGCATGCAAGCCCTAACAAATACAGCCGAGATAGTCTGACAAAAGATGCCATCCTTGCAGTAAAACGACTAACTGGGTAAAGAAGTCATTAGTCATATGAGAAATAATCTTGAAATGGCAACTAATGAAAGGTGTCCCACTTTTAATAGCAACTTGGAAGTCAATGTGTAATGTTGTAAAAAGCAGCTTCACTAATTGTTAAGGTTAAGAACACTACTTAGAACATACTGGAGTGTTTCATTAATCATTGAAGTTCCATTTACAAAAGTGAGATATTAGTGTCAAGAAAACTTCACTGTACTTTGTTGCAGACAGCTCTATTTTTAAACAATGTTTGACTGATACTGACAATACATTTCAGTCTTTTTAACCAAAATATTCAATAATGCAGAACTTTCTGCATCCAAAAAGCAAACAGTGTTCTATTATTCTTTATGGTAGATTTGTAGTTTAGCTGCATTGAGGCGCCATGTTATCAGGAGTATACTTTTACTGTTTGGTTTCTGCCTCATTAAAGTGGTGTCCGATTGCTGATTGTATGACAGGGCACTCAGGAGAAAGGTCACTGACTGGTGGGCAACTGTATTTAACAAAAATAAAAAGCACAAATGAGAAGAGTGAGTGCTGTTTGGCTCAGATTCAAATCCCATCAGAGCTGCTGTGGTGAAAGTCAGGATGACCGCAAGTCTTAATGGGAAATAAAAGTTCACGATTCATCTGCAAACTCCAAAACAAATTCTAGAGGCTCTAACTGCTGTTGGATAGAGTTAGCTCTGAATATTGCAATGCTGTAGCACAAGAGAGAGGCAAATCCAAATGACCCTGTACACATTGCAACAGGAACACTTCAACGTACAATCCAAGAGTTTTTCTAACCTGAGCAATTTTTAATTTGGGTTTGTTCCTTCTGTTATAAAATACCCCCAGTTTAAGACCCAGGTACATTATTACAAGAATCCTGTGTCGGAACTGAAGACTGACAATTGGAAGCCTGAAAACTTTCATGTTAAATCTCTAATGTTCTTAGGCTCAAGGCTAGTGGAATTTTAGACAATGGTCTTAAATTTAAACTCAATTTGGAAGTATTTTTTTTCTCATACTGAGTACCTTGCTTCGGTGGTGCTGGAAGCTTTCTTCTTTGTTGCCTCGAAGAGTCAATGGTCTCTGGCTAAATCAGACAAAAGAGAGACTCTCACAATCAAGGCACTGGGTGGATAGCACATTGATTCTAAAATTCTCAATGTCCAAACTAGAAAATGGCTTGTTCTCTTACCTTCATGCCAGATTGATTGTGTTTCTTCAGCAATCGTACACAGGGAGCCACATTCAACCCTGCTACATTCAGGGCAGAGATCCTGCGTTCGATATCTGAAACCTAGCAAATACATAATCATTTGAGAGAGAAAGAGAGAGAGAAAGTGGGCACAATTTGAAGGGAAGGAGATTAAAGAATCAACACCCAAAACTCCGGTAAAGAAACTGAACGCCAATCCATATTCCTACTGTTTCTTTTGTTCACTTTTACTTTCCAGCCACACAGGCTGTTAGCTGTACATACTACTATGTGACTGTGAATACTGTTTAGGGATTTTATTCTTTACTTCACAATAAAAACAATGCAGGACAAACAATTTGGCCTTATTGTCTAAGGCTCTTAGATTGATTACTGTAGGTTGACGCTCCACATGTGTTCTATGGGCAGGAAGCAGTGCTGATGTCACTTGCTTTGCAAAGTGACATCAGTGCCACTTCTTGTACATAGCACAGATGTGTGTCACACACACTACATCTGTAAACTATGCAACAACCCGGAAGTTGGTTCATTTTTTAAAGCGGGAAATCTGAGAGTCAGCGCTGAAAGTGGGGTGTGTCACACTTTGGGTTAGTGCAGGTTCATGGCATACAAATCAAGACGGCATTTCATCGAAGGGCACTAAGACAGGGTTCCTCTATATTAAACTAGGTCAGTATAGAGTAGAGGATTAACACTAATATATGGAAATTAATAATATAGGGATAAATAATGATTTTCATGAGATTTTCATTAAAAATTCAAAATGAAACATCTTACCAACAAAAATGTGATTACATGCAATCAAAACTTTGTCAAATTATGATTTTAAAAGAAAACCAAATCTTGCACATGAACTGAACCTAAATCACTGCACAGTGTTCTTCAAAAACTCTGTACTCAGTCCAGCAAGCTGTCCAATCAGATATGAAATAGAGCTTGTGTGGAGATGTCACGTGTGCCTTACTTGCAGGTCAGATAAATTATATGTTACTCTTACAAGAAACTTTAATACTTTACAGGGCCCTTACTTGGAGATGTGATACTGGATGTGATCATTACCTGGAGCTCTGCTTGGTGAACTTGTGCAGCGGCTGTGGCCACTTGGTCTTCCAGATCGGCTAATTCTGTCTCAGTGGTTATACTGTGAATACTACGTGCACAGTCCTCCAGGTCATTCAATTGCCCTTCCAGACTGTAAACTGTGCCTGCTGTCAGGTACACCTATGAAAAATGATATGGTTAGAGCATAAAGTCTTACAGGGGCTTTCTAATGATGGGTCGAGCCAATGGATGAATATGAGTACAGGTACATGTAAACAATGAAATCAGTGATCTGATGAGCTTTTTTCAGATTAATTTCAAGTCATCTGTATTAACCTTTCCTATGTTTTATTTCTGACTCTGCTTTCCCTTCCTAACCATTAAGTCGAGGAGAGGAAGGCAGTAATGCTTAGTTCCAGAAGAGCTGAGCATCATTCCTGATCCTGTTTGTCATGTTGGTGCTACTCACAGATTAGACCAAAGTATTTCCTTATTGATCAAAGATTTTAAATAAAGCCAAGTCTAGCATTTTTGCAGAGGCTACATGTCAACTTGGCTTAGCGGTAGCACTCTTGCCTCTGAGTCAGAAAGTTGTGGTTTCAAGCCCCATATCAGGACTTTGAACTCACATAGTCTAAATTGCTGGAGGTGCATTGCAGCTGCTGTCCTTCGGATGATATGTTCAACTGAGATCTCGTCTGCCTGTTCCGGTGGACGTTAAAGATCCCATGACACTATTCTAAAAGAGAAGGGAGTTTCTCCTTGTGTTCTGGCAACAATCCCCCCAAATAAAAATTGGTCATTCATTTCATGGCTGTTTGTGAGACATTGCTTTATGCAATTGGGCTGCCATATTCCCCTACCAACACAGTCACTCCACCTTACAATAAATCCTGTGAAGCATTTGGGAAGTGTTCCTATGTGAAAGACACCATACCAAATGCAAGCATTATTATTATCAATAATATTATTGCTTTTCTAACATGCAGTCATGGATCTGGTCAGTTAGAGAAGCTGCTTTGTTTCCATTTTGGAAACAGATGAGTACTTTCAACTGTTAATTTCTTTGGCAGATGAGTCTGAATGGAGGCCATAGGGTGAAAAAACACTCCTTGGATAAGCAGTATCCGGTGAATGATGCTTCACCACCAGAACAAGTGCCTCGTGACGTCACCTGTGTTTTCTGGAGGGAATCCCCTATGAATGTGCTGACTTGTTTGGGACACTAGTAACACCAATATTTTGCCTAAGTGGCCTTTCTTCATATATGTGCCTAAGTATCATTTTTCTCATCTGTTTCCAAACATTGGTTGATTCATTTGGAAACAACAACATTAATACAATGTTCTCCAGCCCTAATCCTGAGACTGAAATATAATCAGACAAACAAGTGCCCAAAAGACCCAAAAGATTATTTTAGCATCCCTCTATGCAAAGCATATGCTTTGTGGGCCTAAATTGTTCTGTCCTTACATTTTCCTCTAGTTTTGAGAGATGTTCTTCCAGTTTCATTGCCTCTTTCCCTGTCGGAAATTGATCCAGATCACGTGACTCCGAGAGTGAACTACCTCCCCCTGTGGCTGCACCGATCAGATCTTCAGTGGCATTGATGACTTTCAAGGCCTCTGTTGTGATGTTGCAGAGAGAGACAGCAGAGTATTTCTGTTCAGTTAGAATGGAGAAAGGGACAGAGAAAAAGAACAGTGATATTAATAACTGAGTTGAAGTGCACTCACACTGAGGTGAGTAGGATTCAAGGAGGTTATAAACTGTTGCATTTCTGGCCGGTACCTGAAAGGATGCACACTAATGAAAACTACAGTAAATTTCCTTGTGGACTAATATAGAAGTTATTGTTAATAAACAACTTATTGTTTATGTCTCCTCTCTTGAACAATACTTGGTGGTGTGAAACCTCTGGTCGACACCAAGCTAAGTTTCAAACACCACATCTGTACTGTTCCCAGGAACACTTTTAGCCACGTCTGGATTATTGCCTGCTTACTCCAGTTCAAAGCCTAACTGCTAGTATACCTGGTATAGGTTAATGAGGAGCAGGATAGCATTCATCACCCCACACTACTCACTTTCCAATTTCAGAGTTGAAAGCAACAATAAGAGCAACTCAAACCACTGTCTTAAAATTTGAGATTGTGCTGGATTTTGGAAAATTCTTAAATTGGTTTTAATTTGGAAACCAGTCACAGAAAACCCACTTCCAAACTACAATAACAACAAAACGGGCATTTATACAACAACAAAATTACATTTGTATAACACCTTTCACGTCGGGAGGATGTCCCCTTATACAGCTCCCTTCATCCGGGTAGCATCTCAGAGAGCTTTACTGATTAAACTTGTGGTATCAATATTCAAGCATTGTTGTTATGATGATCAACCCTGATAGAGTTGGATTTCCCGTGGTATTTTCCATATGAATCCAGTCCTCTATTTGCCAGTGAGAAACTGTATTGCATTAATCCATCTCGGCCAGATGGAAACGGAGATGGTAATGCTGGCCTCAGTACCCCTGGGTGAGGGGAGGACAAACCAGCAAATATGGAAAAGAGAGGGATAAGTAAGCACAGGACATATTGGCAGAGAGGAGCAAGAGACAGCGGTGAGCAAAGGACAAGCGATCAGCTTATTAACTGATGTAAGTTTGCTTATAGATATTTCTGTTACCGTGCTAGAATCTCACCATGTGACATAGACTATGTCCTAGACGTCACCCAAGTTACTATGAGAGAGAGACACTGAGAACTACAGTATGGTCCAGCTTTATGCGCAGGATGTTCTCTTTGCAACTATTGACCTCGCTCAGGGTGTTGAATACGATGGGAAATGGCCGTTGCTGAAAAAAGAATGGGCTTTTCTCTTTATAATTTGCTTTAATTTATTTTCTGGTGAGTGTTTCTTCCCATCAAGATGAATGGTGCCAGTGCTTGGATAGGACACTTTTCCAATATGGGCAAACGACATCAGCGTCAAGCACTCCCACATCCGTGTGTAGGCGATAAAATGGAAAGCACATTCTCATCAGGCGAATAAACTACTTCTAAACATGGATCACTTCTCAGCCTTTGAATGTTGCAGTGACCTTCAGGCATACCACCCACAAATTCTATTGAAAAATAACCCATTATTAATCCATTACTCAGTATTCATGACACCCAGTATCAGAGTTGATGTTAACTGGCATTTCAAACAACGTAGAGCATGAATTAGCCACGCTGATGTTTTACCATCTATTTCCAGAATACAAAACATATAAATAAATTATTTCATCTATGGTGCCTCAATATCATCCTTACATTGTCATTTTGTACTTTGATTTACAAATTGATGCATAATGCCTTAATACTGTTGACACACAATTATCTCTGGTAAAGGCAAAAACACAGACTCTTTTGACTCCACAAGCCTGAGAACAATTGCACTGAAAAAAGACCTCATGCAGTGTAGTATGGCTGTGTGACTGGGGCTCCACTTATGTGTAAAGGAGCATGTTGTTTTTTTTTACTTGATGTGCCCTCAATCAAGATGGCTAATGAGCTGAACTCCAATCAGTGTTATTTGATATTCCAGTCTAAGTGCGATTTGGGCACCAGCAACCGGTTAATAAATCAGTACTAATATATATCTGGGTAGCTGGGTGTTAGAGAGAGATGGGTCTGTATGGAGAAGACGGCTGTAAAAAGCAATAGCTTCCTTATCAAAATTAACTTTTCTTTTTGTTTGAAAAACCTTGGTGCAAGTTTGTTTTCCGGGCGCAGCCTAAACCCTACTACAAGGTGACACACAGTGCAGTACAGCTGATATACATTGTCAAGTGCTGGCAGCATCACTATCCATGGCAGCATCCACCACCACTATACCTCATTGAGCAGCCCAGAACCTTGGCATCTTGTTTGACCCTCAACTGTCCTTTCTACCCCACAACCATGCATTCAATCCATGACTGTTTGTGGGACACTGCTGTGCACAATTGGCTGCCGTGTTTTGCCCACAAAATAAGCGCTTTGAGACGTCTCGAAGACATGATAAGGCGCCGTATCAAATGCAAGGATTATTATTATTATGACCCGTTCTACCTTTCCCACCTATGGAAAATCAGCAGGCTCCGCCACTGCCTCACCCCTCAGACACCGAAACCCTCATCCACATATTCCTGTAGTTTAATGGTTAGAGCACTCGCCTCGCAAATGACGGAACTTGGGTTTGATTCCTGGGCAGGGCAAAAAGTTGGACAAGTTTCCTTACTCTACACTCCTCTATTTATCTAGCAGTAAGTAAGAACCTGGTTGTTAGCCGATTGCCAGATTGTTTATCTGGGGGTAAAAAATCCCTTAAAAAATAATAATAATTTGGTCACTCAATCCACGACTGTGTGTGGGACACTACTGTGCGCAATTTACAATCAATTCACTTTACAGTATATTCTGTGAAGCGCTTTGAGACTCTTGAAGACGTGATAAGGCACTATATCAAATGCAAGAATTATTATTATTATTATTATTCATTACATCTAGGCTTGCTATGCTAACTCCCTGCTTGTCGGCCTTCCCAACTATTCCCTCCACAAATGCGGATCATCCAGAACTCTGCAGCTCGTGTCCTTTCCTGCACCAGGCTCTGTGACCCCATCACCCCCACCCTCCACTGGCTCCCCAAACCCCAGATGATAGAGTTCAAAATCCTTGTCCTCGCTTTGAAGGCACTCCACGGCCTTGCTCCTTCCTACCTGTCAGGCTCCAGCTTGTTCAACTTCCCCCGCTCTCAATCTATGTTCCACAACACTGCAATAAGGCCACCCTATACATTCATGTTTTCAGCACATAAAGAAATAATTACGAGATTGTAGAGATAGACTCTGGCATTAGAAACATTCGAGCATAGAATTCACTGGACCCTATTCTCCTCAAACACTAAAAATATGTACAGAAGAGCTGGAAAAACAAATTGTTAAAAGTGAACCCTTGAGCTAGACTTGAATTATCATTAATGAGTGAAGGAGAGCTCTCTGAAACAAGCACTTCAGAAGAAAGAAGTGGGTAAGGTGCATCTTTCACTCATTCCCAGAACCTCACACAGCTCTGTTTATAAGAACTAATTAGATCAAAGCAGAAACCCTATGACCAGAAATCTCTTTAATAAAATCAATATTATTCAGCACAAATCTAACACCTTTCTGATCACCTCAACTCATTCTCTGGCTAATTGACACAAGAAACGTACTTGAAGGTTTTTCTTGTATACTTTTTTACATTACGCAGTTATGAAAGTAAGAGACACAGAAAGGCCTCCTCAAGTACCCTTGCTATCTCTGTACCCTCGCTCCTCAGTCACTTCCATCAGTGCAATCGATTCTCTGCTAAATTAATGACTTGTTTGGCACAAACTTTTACTTAACTTACCGAGAATGAGCAAAATCATGCCCTACGTAGTGGGCAGTACTTATTTTTGTGCTTATAATGTGTATTTCTTTATGTCTAGCATTATATATACATACATGCACATTCCTACATGCACCTATATACATGCACCTATATACATGCACCCATGTGCACAAACAAAGATCGTGACAAAATTCAGCTCTCTTTCTCCCAAATGTAACTTACTCTCACAAGTTCATCCTGAATTTGTTTGTGGTCTTCATCAGATGAGGATGTATCCTCCCTCTCCCGAGCTTCCTTGGTTGTCTCTTGATCCAGCTCATCACCAGACGATGATTCTCTGTCACTTAGTTTTGTAGCTAGTTCAACCAACTTTGATCTCAGCTTCTCTTCCATTACATCTGCATGGGTTTTAGTGTGTGTAGTTCCTTTGCTTATATCCAGATCAGATTTACCCTTTGGGATTTGAGCATGTGCAGGGATGGAAGGCTCCTTTAAAACACAACATTCAAACAAATGGACTTTGATTAGAGGCACGTAAAAATATTAATTCAGCTAATTGAGATTTTCTCTCCATCTGAATGAATCTATCTGCATGGCACTGCTTGTTGAATTAGAGATGGAAATACTGGACACTTAGAAATCCTTACATCTAATATAGCATCTTTCACATCTCAAAGTGCCTGAGAGGATATACTGTAAACTGTAGTAACTGTGTAATTTGTAGGTGAACCAGGATTCAATTTGTACACAACAATGTTTCACAAACAGTTATGAAGTGAACAACCAATTTTAATTGGCCAAGACAAAGTCCCTTCTCATTTTGAATCGTGCCATGGGATCTTTAATGTCCACCTGAATAGATGGGACTGATGGGACATGAACAAGCAGACAGGCAGAACCTCAGCTTAACATCTCATCCAAAGGATAGCACCCCCAGCACCATATTGGAGCATTAAACAAGCTGGTATGAGTTCAAAGTCCTGACGTGGTTCTTGTACCAACAACTTTCTGATTCAGAGGTGAGAGTGCTCCCAACTGAGCTATAGATATTTGAAAGAAAAAGGAATAAAAGCCATAATAAAGAGATAAGTGGGTTGAAAGTAAAGCATTCGGAAAAAGTGTCGTGAAAAATGTGCAACTTCCGGCTTCTCAGTTCAGAAAAGGCAGAAAATGTTCAACAAAAGATCGGAGAACAATACATTGGCCACAAAAGAGGCCTTGGAAATTGTGATTTTATTCTAAATTTTTAAGTAACTTGGTTATCAAATTTGGAAGACAATTGTGTAATTTCAGTTGCAAATCAGAAGTCTTGTTTAGCACAGTGACTGAATCTTGCAATTCCAAACCCTGCGATTACCATTACAAGGTGAATAGGGAACAGAATGCCTAAGATTAGGAAGCAGCAAAGGTTCATATATATACATACATATGTGTATGTGGAATCTGATTATGCATTTTGCCCGACTTAAGACGCGTCCAAGGTTAGCCGAAATACCATTGTAGCCCAGTAGAGGAGCTGTGACGGTTCCGAATTATATTATGTAATAACGTTGTTTCACTTGAAGCAATGTTAACTAACCAGTTAAAATTAAAATACTCTCACAGAATTCAGGAAAACATATTTACCTCTGTTTGGTTGCAAATTACAGTTCAGTATTGTACTGTCCCGCCCAGCAGAGGAGCAGTGGCTTATGCTGCCTCCCTCCCATTGCCGTTCCCAATGGACAGGAAGGGGACCAGCCAGCGGCGGTTGAGGTGATTGACAGCCTGCAGCCGCTTGTGAATGTTTCAGCTCCAGCCATTCACAAACCACTCAGCTGTTAATCAATCACAATTTGACTGCTCCCGTTCCCTCTCGTGCTCTTCCCCGTTCCTCCGCCCCCTCACTGATTGATAGCACAACTCAAGCCGCTTGTGAATGGCTGGAGTCCACTGTCAATCGCAACTTGACTCCTCCGATCTACATCCCAGAGCCCCTCGTGGCTGAAGGCTCGACACACAAGGCTCGAGTGAATACATTCAGCGGGGATTAGAGCGGCATTTTGCCTGGATAAAGCGGACTTTCGTCTGAATTAACAGGCATATTTAAAATAATACTACTAATAATAATCCTTGCATTTGATATAGAGCTGTTCACGTCTTCTAGACGTTTCAAAGTGCTTCACACAATATACTGTAAAGTGAGTTGACTGTATATTTGTGGGCGAAACGTGGCAGCCAATTGCGCACAGTAGTGTCCCACAAACAGTCGTGGATTGAAGTGACCAAATTATTATGGGTTTTTTTCTTGAGGGATTATTATCAGGCGTGTGGAGTAAGGAAACTTGCCCAAGGTTTCACCCTGCCGGGAATCGAATCCAGGTCTCTTGCTTGCGAGGCGAGCGCTGTAACTACTGAGCTACAGGACTCCACAAACAGATAAGAATACAAATGAATTGGGGCTGAGCATTTTGTTCGATTGACCCAAAACGTCTGGCGTTAACTTGCGTCTGGCAAAAGCGGATTTCACTGCATATAAAAAAAATGACACCCATATAAAATGAACATTTCCAAAACAGGTAACATGCTCAATGGCTTGTAGGATATTTTAGCAACAACAACAAGATTACATGTGTATAGTGCCTTTCATGTCGTGAGGACGACCCAAGGCGCTGGACAGAGTACAGCATTTCAGACCCGAGCTGGTGTCGGGGTGGGGGTGGCCGATAGCATGGTCAAAGAGGAGGGTCTTGAGGCGGGACTTGAAGGAGGCTAAGGAGGGGGCCAGGCGGAGTGATTGGAGGATGGAATTCCAGAGGTTGGGGGCAGAGTGGCTGAAGGCTCTCCCATTAATGTTGGGGCGGGTGGGTCGGGGGCTTGGAGCAGGCCAGAGCCGGCTGAGCGGACAGAACGGGCGGGTTGGTAGGGGATTAGGAGGTCGCAGAGGTAGGGTGGCACGAGGCCATGGAGGGCTTTGTATGTGAGAACCAGGATCTTGAACTGGATCCTCTAAAGGATAGGGAGCCAGTGGAGTCGGGCGAGAGTGGGGGAGATGGAGTCACGGAGTTTGTTGCAGGAGAGGACACGGGCTGCAGAGTTCTGGATTATCTGCAGCCTGTGGTGGGAGGAGTTGGGAAGGCCGACAAGCAGGGCATTTGCATAGTCGAACCTGGAGGTGATGAAGGTATGAACAAGAGTTTCAGTGGCCTGAGGGGTGAGGTAGTGGCGGAGTCGGGCGATGTTACGGAGGTGAGCGAAGGCAGAACGAGTCATGGCTTGAATTTGGGGGAGAAAAGACAGTTGAGGGTCGAACAAGACACCGAGGTTCCTGACTGGCTGGTGAGTTGAAATGTGCAACCATGGAGGTTGATGCTGCCAGAGCCTGAGGTGCTGAGGCGCTGGCGTGAGCCAATCAGGAGGGCCTCAGTCTTGTTCACATTCAACTGTAGGAAATTTGCCCTCATCCAGGACTTGATGTCCGACAGACAGTCTGTCAGGACAGCAGTGGTCCTGGAGTTGAGGGTGGAGGCAGAAAGATAGAGTTGGGTGTCATCCACATACATATGGAAGTTGACCCCATGTCTGCGGATGATGTCACCAAGGGGAGACATGTAGATATTAAAGAGGAGAGGGCCAAGGACAGACCCTGGGGGATGCCAGACGTGACAGTGCGGGGCCTGGAGGAGAAACCGTTAGAGGCAACACAGTGGAGACGGTGAGAGAGATAGGAATCGAACCAGGCAAGGGCAGGTCCGCGAAGATTGAGTAAAGCGGAGAGGCGGTGTATGAGGATGGAGTGGTCGGCAGTGTTGAAGGCGGCAGAGAGATCGAGGAGGACAAAGAGGCAGAGGGAGCCCTGATCACAGATGTTCAGAATGACATTAGTGACTTTGACCAGGCTGTTTCCGTGCTGTGGGCAGCATCTCACAACATTCAATCATAGCACCACATTGTGGCCTAAATTGTGACAATTCGTAACAGAAATTGTTATAAATGACTTGGGAGTCGCAAATAGCAATTGATTCGGGTAACTGGAACTATATCATGCTGACCCATGGGAATTTGGCTCCACCACAATCTAATTCTGGAGCAGCATTCCCATAGATCAGAGTACCATAATTCTGATTATAGAAAAAGTTATGTATCATTTGGGAGACACTTTTGTGACCAGTGTTGCAACTTGCTGCATTTGATCACATTCCGAACATATATTGCTGTACAAACTTTGAATTCAGGATTCACAAAGATTACCTCTCTGGTCCAGGCCCCCAAACTAACTCTTCTTTCCATCCTTGCAAGGCTTTGCTCCATATCGAACATGCACCTGCTCAGCTCCTTAATGTGAAGAAAACCAGTTCAGTTTCAGGAAAGGTGTAAAGCAGAACAGCAGCAAACATACAAGGTGTCTACTCTCTTCAAACAACAATGGTTAAATGCTACAATCTGCCTTATGTAGATTCTTCAAAATAGCAATTTTTAAATAATGCATAATATTTGTCTTAATTTACAATCTTCTGATCCATGTCACAATATCCCATTCTGACAGACTTGGGAGTGTACCTTGCACTGATCAGTGAAAATAATGACCATTTTGCTAACTCTTTAGAATGGAGGCAATCCCACTACAGGTTCAATTAGTGATATGTCACAAGGGATAATCATCACATTCTGTTACGAAATGTACGCCCAATAAAGATCCAGTTAAAAGTTTGCTATTTTTAGTGATCATGGTAAAATAGATTCCTTGGTAGCAAATATATTAATAATACGGTTGAATCCGCTTTAGCGTACCCCGGTTAACCCTAGATGTTGGGTAAATCAAACAAAAGATCCAGCCCTGATTCATATTTGGTTAATCCAGGCAAAATGCCACACTAGTCACCACTGAATGTACTCACTCAGGCTTTCTATGTCTCGAGTGGCTCCATTCGCCCACAAAATATACGGTCAATTCACTTACAGTCTATTCTGTGAAGCGCTTTGAGACGTCGAGAAGACGTGAAAAGCGCTATATCAAATGCAAGGATTATTATTATTATTCAGCTACGGGGGGCTCCAGAATGGAGATGGGAAGAGTCTAAGATTGATTGACAGCGGACTCCAGCCATTCATATGCGGTTGGAGTTCTGCTGTCAATCAGTGAGAGGACGGAAGAACGGGGAAGAACAAGGAAAGGAATGGGAGAAATCAAATCAAGATTGATTGACAGCTGAGCTGCTTGTCAATGGATGGAGCCCAAACATTCACGATCGCCTCAGGCTGCCGCTAATTGGTTCCCTTCCAATCCAATGGGAACGGCAATGGGAGGGAAGAACCACCACCATCCTGCTGGGTAGGAAGATATTTTGCAGTCAATCAAAGGTAAATATATTTTACTGTGAGAGTACAGGACTTTAACTTTAACTCCTAGGTTAAAATACTTGGTATCCTGTTTGGTTAGTTAGCATTACTTCAAGTAAAGCAACATTACATATTTTTATTCAGCATCGACAGGGCTCCTCTGCTGAGCAGGAATGGTATTCCGGTTAATCTCGGACGCCTCTTAAACTGGACAAAACGACCATCCCCAATGTGTCTGGCTTAACAGGCTACCACTGTAATAATCCTTGCATTTGATATAGCACTTTATTGCATTCCAACATCTCAAAGCACTTCATAGAGTTTTCCGTAAAGTGTAGTGACTGTATATTTGTAAGCAAACATGGCAGTCAATTTGCACATGGCTATGCCCGACCAATTAACTAGTAGATTGTTATTCAGGATACCGGGAGAAACTCCCTTCTCTCTTTGAATTATCATTTGTTCTGTAATGTCCAATTGAATTCTGCTACATCAGCTGAGAGACTAGAAGGAGAAAGAAAGCTTGAAAATCCTGAACAGGAGCAAAGGTTAAGCCAGCTAATAGTTGCGAATTAAGAATGTAGCTTTAGTGAAAATGTATTTCTCTTGTGGTATGAAAATTCATAGTGTAGGACTATGAACTCATTAGAAAAGCCAAATGTAAGTGCAGAGTGAAGCACTGAGTTCATACAATGATATTAGATAAATATTTGGGGAGGACAAGTTTGCAGGGCTATGGAGAGAGAGCGGGGTAGTGGGATTGATTTGGATAGCTCTTTTAAAAGAGCCGGCACAGACGTGATGGGCCGAATGGACTCCTTCTGTGTTGTATAATTCTATGATTCTGTGATTGTATGATATCTATATGGACTGGGTAACACATTACTTACCACACTACACGACTGAGATGAAATTCCAATTGGCAGATTGTGAAATTCAGTTCTTGGAGGTTGGTTTTCTATAGTTTCGTGTCCTCTCCCGCACTAGGCTCCGTGATTCTATCACCCCCGTCCTTGCCCAACTCCACTGACTTCCCATCACACACAGGATACAGTTCAAGATCCTGGTCCTCACCTTCAAAGCCCTCCTACCTCCCCCCTACCTCTCCGACCTCCTAACTCCCTACCATCCTGTTCGCTCCCTCCGCTCAGCGGGCTCTGGCCTGCTTCACGTCCCCCGCCTTGCTCGCTCCACTATCGGCGGGCCTTCCGCCATTCTGCACCCACCCTCTGGAACTCCATCCTGGAGTCCCTCCATCTCGCCCCCTCCCTCGCCACCTTCAAGTACCACCTCAAGATTAAGTTTCAAAATTAAGGCTACATTTAAGAATTTGTTAAATTCTGGACTAATGATGTAATGATATGAAAATGCTATGTAAATGGGTGAGTTATCCAACAGCAAATCATTATCTTCAAACAGAAGGGCAGTAATTCTATCAGAAATGCCTAGAACAGACTCGCCAAATCTGTCCCTTTCAATGCCATCCAACAAGGAGTGAGTCTATCGTACATTAACCTCCACTATACAATACAAAATGACATTTGTATGGCTAACTGGCAAATGCTTATTCTGGAGCATTCTCGATCAAAAGAAGTCAAGGTAGTCCCATGACTCACAGAAATCTGTTCATTACCCTGACAAATTCCAAGAGGGCTGCTGTCTGGATGATTTAAAGGGACTTTGTGCTGAATCAATGCTGCTTAATATAATTGATTTCTACGTGATTGGATTTAACAGCTGTGACGTGAGACCACCTTTAGGAGATAGTCTCTACAGCACTATCTTCGAGTTACTTTGAGTTTGTGGTTTAACTAAAGATTTCTAATAACTAGTTTCTAGTAAGTTGCACTTACAAAGTGCCTTTCAGAAAGAAAACCTTCAGCCCGTTTCATCTCATTCTGTCAGAGGGCAAAACTGATCAACTTCCTACTGCAGCCTTAATGTGTTTGTTAAAATTAATCTCATTCTTAGCTAAATTAAAAAGACAAAGGCCTCCTTACTAAAATTGGAAATATCACTAGCGATGGATGCCAATGAGCAGAGCTCTGGATATACACATCGGGCCCTACTCCCTGGACTTCCCAACTCCTCCCTCCATGATCTGCAGGTTATTCAAAACTCTGCAGCTTGTGTCCTCTCCCGGACCAGGCGTCCACAAACCAATCACTCCCGTTCTTCCCCAGCTTCACTGGCTCTTCATCCCTCAGAGAATCAAGTTCAAAACCTTTGTTCTCACCTTCAAAGCCCTCCACGGACTTGCTACCCCCCACCTCTCCGACCTCCTAACCCCACATCAGCCTGTCCGCTCCCTCCGTTCGGCAGACACCGGCCTGCTTCAAGTCGCCCACACTGCCCGCCTCACCATTGGCGGTTGGGCATTCAGCAGCTTTGCCCTCCACCCCCACTCTGGAACTCTACCCCACAATCCCTCTGTCTCACCTCTTCTCTTGCCTCCTTCAAGTCCCATCTAAAGACCTTCCTCTTCAACTGTGCCTTTGGCCAAGCACCCATCCACTTCCCTGCCCTCCACCCCTTCTGACCCCAACTCCCAGCTCGGATCCAAAAAACCCAGATCGTCCAGCGCCCTGGGACGTCTTTCTGACATGAAGGGCACTATACAAATGTAATTTGTTGTTGTTGTAAACTCATGTGTGTGGGAACTCATGTTCACAAAGCACAGATACAATTCATGAGCCACTATAACTGGTGCTTCCTGCTTCCACTTTGTAATTATGACTGATGAAACAGGGACAATTGAGAACTGGTGCTGCTAAAAGAATGCTTAGAGATAACTGGCGCCAGTGAGGTACTCTGCATTTTATGAGATTTTTATGCACAATACAAAATAAAATGTTCACATCAATGTCTAAGATACAACCTTCCCACTGCACCTTTATAATGTGAAATTCAATCTAAAGACATAGCAAAATAAATCACCATTTTTAGCAATTGGCTTCATTTCGGCCCCATTGTGTGCCAGTTCTCGTGACAATCCACAAGCGCATATGTAAAAAAAATTAGGTAAGCAGGATGCATCCCTCCAGAGAGAGAGTGCACATTCCATTGCAACAATCTATCTCTGGGATTCCCATGTGTAGATGGGATGCATGGAATTCTCAGTTTGGTTTGGATACTCTTAAGCATAGTGATGGGTTTCCTTATGTGTCACACACCCATACCAGGCTGACCAAGAAAAAAAGGAAAAAAAAACATTTGTACTTAACTTTTCATAGAATGGGGGATTATCAATGAACAAACTTCCGTAACTATTCTCTGCCTCCCTCAAGGCACGTCTCAAGACCCTCCTCTTCGACCATGCCTGCGGCCACCCACCCTGCTCTACATTCTACCTATCCCACCCCCCGCCCTCCACTCGGGTCCAAACCCCTGACTGTCCAGCGCCTTGGGACACCTTCCTGACGTGAAAGGCACTTTACAAATGTAATTTTGTATTGTATTGTAATACATAAATATTTTTTACTGTAATTGGGAACAAAATAATCTGAACAATGGCCTTGCTCCCCACTACCTCTGTGACCCCCTACTAATCTGCCCTCTCCTTCCGCTCAGCGGGCTCCGGCCTGCTTCATGCCCCTCGCCCGCCCCTCCGTTGGCAGGCAAGCCTTCAGCCACTCTTCCCCCACCCTCTGGAACTCCATCCCACAATCCAACTCCAACTGCCCGCCAATCTCCCTGATCCCGACCCCCAGCTCAGGTCCGAAACACTGATTGTCCAGCGCCTTGGTATATCCTCCCGACATGAAAGGCGCTGTACAAATGTAATTTTGTTATTGCTGTTATTCACGTCCTCCCAATGTGAAAGGCACTGTATAAATGCAGTTTGTTGCTGTTTACAAATATGTTCATTGGGATGGGAAAACCTCCGTCTGGGTTTAGACTTACTCCATTTATGCAGCATTTCAGTGTGTCCAAAACTTGACAGGTTCTTAAATACAGCTTTAATTTTTAAAGCCTGTTTTATCTAAGTTCTTTTAGGAACTGCAGAAAAACTACTTCAAAGGCAAGACTAAATTGAATAATTTGCAAAATTCTGGACACTCTGAAATGCTACATAAATGGAAGTAGAATTTCTCCCTCAAATTTTCTCATGTAACTCCCATTCATTTAAACATGGACTGAGCCATTGACTTTTGCTAGAGGTTTTCAACACACAGATTATTTGGCAGCTGCTGCTTAACAGATGTCAGATGACACCTTGTGGTGGAAAAGGTATGTAACAGTCAGTCAAGGTTTTTTTTTATACACCTATCTGACTGTTGTCAATAGATGATGCATAACACAGACTATATCAATCCAAAAAGTCACTACTGCACAAAACGCCAGCAGCAAAGCATCATAAAGTGCTTCTACATTCGGCTGTAGGAAATGCGACTTGCCTAATGTTAGCCCCGGTTCGTCTCTCCAAACCCCAACAACTACCAGCACCAAATACATGAGGCATTTCTTCTCACTGCACCTATTGTTACAGTAAGTATGCAAATAAAATCCCCTGAAAACAAGGAATGAAAAATTTGCTACTTTTTAGCAGACGGTATGTAAAAGACCACTATGAGAATTATACGTGACTTAATGATATGGGATATTCCACTTCTCTTCTTCCCAGATATCTCTAAGTGAGTTATATGCTTCTATTCAAAATATAGATATGATATTACCTGGCACGTGTTTTTAGTCTGCGATTCTCGGCTATTCGAGTTACTCTCTGCTTCATACAGCTGCTCCTGAGCTGAACATTTACTCCTCTTCCTACGCCGATGCCTCTTCTCGGAATCATTTGGAACGTCCTCGGCTTCACTGCTGTCCACTGCCCCAAGTCGCTGTGCCTGCGAGTTGTAGTTAATGTCCGGCTCCCCAGAGTGAAGGGCAATCACCCTCTTCTGATCTCTGCAATGTGGATACTGGGTATTGTCATCTGTCACAGCTTGTTCGTCTGACCCTCTGGCAGAGATCTTGACTGAACTAGCAGAGGATGTCTCCGAGTCCGAGTATGTGGTCTCTGTATTGGTGTATTGCCCTGACGATGGTGAGGTCATTAATCGGTGTCTTGCATTGGCCTCTGGCCACTCGTCATCATGCTGAGAATCCATGTAATAGACTTTGTCTGATAATTTCCCAGAAAGCCGCCTAAATTCAGGGACAGCTGAGCTCCAAGCAATCTCATCATCATCATCATCATCATCATCATCATCCGTCCCCATCTCATCATAGGCAGAGATGACTTCTGCCTCACTCTCCAGTGCCATAAATGCTCTGCTCTTTGGCTTGGTCAGTAGTCGAGGGCGGGCAGCAGGAGTGTTGGACAGCATGGCTATCCAGTTCCCATCAGGACTGGTCAACATATTTGAGGAACCTGCAATGATAAATGTATTCAAATAATATGAAACCACCAAAGACCGATATGAACAGATGCCAATAAGAAAACAAATTCAACATGGAGCCTGTTATTTTAATTGTTACTGTCTACTCTGATACATAATACATTAAGAGGATTGAGGAAGATTAACTGTCCACAATAGCATAAAACTATTTTGCCAATTGGGTTTGTTCCTTCCAATGAACCACATATAACCTGCCTGTCACTTATACTTTTATATATGTCTAGGCTTTCGATCACCCTGCTTCCCCTCCTGCCCTCCACCCTCCCCAATCCCGACCCCCAACTCGGGTCTGAAACTCTTGACTGTCCAGCAGCTTGGGACGTCCTCCCGACATGAAAGGGGCTATACAAATGTCATTTTGTTGTTATATACATAAAACAATACATAAGAGGCTATCAATATACTAAAAGGCAGGCAACTTATAAATATATCGAGTAGAACCCCATTATAAAGCGCTTCATTATAATGTGGGTTCACTTATAACATTGGTTGGGATTTATGAACCACCAACGACAGGGCTCCAGTGGACATACGTAACTACCTGAATGAAGGAGAGAGAAGTCCAGGGTTGGTAACAGTCTGCAGGATGCAAAGTCGAAAGAACCTCTCATTAATTGTTTAAGACATGATGAAAGCTCCTTTTTTGAGCAATTAATTACATTACCAGATAAAAAGAGACATTCCATGTTCAAATTAGCAGCTAGTAGGTAATTCAACAAGTATCACTGTGCTTACTGCATGTGGATTACTGTGCTGAAACTCTGAAATCAGTTCAGGCTCATTTAGAAAGTACAAGTTAGATTCAAATTACATTAGGATGTGAATGTTTCTTACAGTAGTCACACTACATTGTGCAATACAAAGCTCATGAATATTGAATATGATAGGGAAAGTGCTTCAAGGTATTGTGACAAAATATAGTCACCACATTTTATCACATCAATATTATTATTAATATTCCTGTGAAACATTTTGAGACTTATGTTTGTTTATATGCTTGACTGAACTATCAATAGTTACCATGGTCTATGTTATATCTTTAAGCTTATTTTGAATACATTTTTGACCACTAATTTAGTTTTACCTTTCTAAGAAAATTCCAATAAAAATTTACAAGCAATATCCTATTGGTTTTAAAACATATTGACCATTCCCTTTAAGCTGTTGTGCAACTTACACAATTATTGACATATCCTAAATCTCACTACCTGACTTCAGAACCTCACTACCTGGGCTGAGATGATTATCGCTTCTTGGACAAATTATGGTTACCGCAAATCAATTTCCCCTATCCCCTGTGTAAGCCATACATATTGTATATGGCCATTAAATGGGTGGAGGAGTAATCTGTGTTTTATACAATGACACCTCCTGTTAGATATGTACCTGCATTATTATCCAGCACGTCCAGGCTTTTCCAGCTTGGCAGTGAACGGGGTCGCAGATCAGCACTTTCTGATGGTTGGCTTTGTCCCTGTTTCCACATAACCTCCGAAATGGTGGATTTTAAGTTGGCCTCTGCTATCTCTTTACTTAGGGTCTCCTCAGTAGTCAGTGAGAATTCAGAGTGAGATCTCTGGAAAAGAAAAACAAAAGAATAATAAAAGGACATTTGTCTCATTCTTTGTTCATGATAATCCTTACATTTGAATGAGTGCCTTATCACATCAAAATGTCTCAAGGAGCTTCATAAAGGTTTCTGTAAAGTGCAGTGATACACAGCATTGTGTTCTATAATAACAGCTTGCTTTTATATAGTACCGTTTACACAGTAATGATCATTAAAGACATGGTTTTGGATATCAGAAGATAGATAATAATAATAATAGTAATAATAATAATCCTTATATTTGATATAGTGCCTTATCACATCATTGAGATGTCTCAAAATGCTTCACAAGAATATTAATAATAATATTGATGTGATAAAATGTGATGACTATATTTTGTAGGCGAACGATGCAGTTTTAGATGGTCGAACTCTAACAGTACCCCAATACACAGTTTGTGTTCGATTGGCTCTTTCCAACCTGTGCCTAATACTCTCCAGAATCAGGTAAGCAGGATGGTTCTCTAGGGAGAGAGTGCGCATTCCATTCTAGACACAGGGACATTTCCATGCCTGGCTGGCTTATATACGTGGAATTCGTACACTGATGTGGATACTCTTTAGAATTGTGATGGGTTTCTGCATCAGACACTTCGCTGACCCAAAAAAATTGTGAAGCGTGAATTGCCTTTGAATGGCCTGCAAATGATTTGTGTTGCTGCTACTACATGACAAATGACCAGTATATGTACTCTAATGATCTTTCATTGAGGATCTCATAAAATGGCCATTATTCATATTCAGCAAAACAAGGTAGGACAGAAAGAAAGCACCAAGGTGAAGAATAATTAGCTTGCCGCATCTTACTTTATTAACCTTTCTCAAAGACAAGATTGACCCTTATTAGTGACTATTAATTTGCACAGTTGGATATCTGCTTCTTCAGCTGCAATTCAATAAATATAATTTGGGTTATGATTCAGATACGTCCTTGTGTCAGGTGAGAGCAAACTACTGGAATAAAGCCAGTGCACAGTCCAATATATTTCAGCGCCTTGCGACATCCTCCCGACATGAAAGCAGTTATACAAATGTAATCTTGTTGTTGTTGTTATTCCAGTATACAGGGTATATCAGAAGCCCTTTCTCATAAAGGTTATAGTCATTAATTATGTTCTTTTGTTTAGACAACATTTGTAGAGAGTGTGCAGCTGTTACAGGAGATGTCTTTTACCTCGTTCGTGAGTTTTCGTCACCGAGTTGATATGTGTAAACGTCTACATGGCCTGCAGTTTGAACATCTGATATAGACCTATGAGAAAGGATTTTTGATTCACCCTGAACATTCCAGAATATTCCAGTATAGAGCTGGAATGAAAATGACCCTTTTTTAATGAACCCCTGTGGGTCTGCCCTTGGCTAATGAGCAGCTTCTGCAGCAATGCAGTGCTCCAAAAAAGATTTACTTTGAAATAAAAAGTGGAATAAAAACAAAATGGCTATTCTTGCACAGCACTGATCATCATCACTGTATTAATCTATAGACTGATTACAGTGCTGGCAATGAAGCTGCTCACACCTGGTAGGACACAAAGCAAGAAGCTGCTCTGCATCAATTCAATTGGGTCCAAATTGAACAGCTCTTTATTAACATTAAAAATACTGAGTTTAAAGTTCCTGTGTCATCAATGGAATAGCCTGAGAGAAAAGTATGGACATCAGGGGAGTAAATCCAATGGGATTTGCATACTGTTAATCTAGCAGTGATGGATTTGAGTTGGCGCAGACCAGTTTAATCTATACAGCATGGTTCCTTTCTTGTTTGATTCCAATAGAGAAATAAAGCATGTGGATTCCTGTTAAAATCCTCGCCAACAACCATGGTGTCACATACAGGGGTAAAAATAGAGATTGGGAAAGGAGACAGATGAAAATTACACAACACTGCCAAGCAGGGGGCTGCAACAACAGCCATTAACAGTGAACGCTACAGTGAGTGGGAGTTACACCTTTAATGGGAGATTGATGACTTGCTTTAAAATAAATTACCTTAATTCAATGCTACTTTGTAGATTTATCTGAGGTGATGTGCACTGCTCGGAAGAGACAGACGTGTAGGAGAAAATCCCTCACAGGTCACTAAAGCATTAGGGTGACAAATTGGATATGTCACATGCTAAAGTGATCTGCGTTTTCATGAATGAAAAACATATTAATGAAAGGTTTTGCTCCGACGAAGAGGCTTGCTCAAATAATGAAAGATCCAACATGGAAATTAGTAACGTCCCATTACGTAGATGAATTAGGATAGAAAGAAAAAGACTTATTTTACATTAATGAGCCCAAAAGGGTTTCGATACAAAAATTCAAGATATTGTAGAATTGCACAATAGATCTTTTGATTGCATCATTAGCATCGATTTGACACATTATTCCCCCAGATTGTAACACTGCTTGGGACATCTATTCAATTTACAGCCCCATTCCTCTCGGGGAGTGGATTCAGGAATCTAATCCTTCTCTTGGTTGCAGCATAAATCAGGTTTCAACTACAACCAATTTTATCACCAATTTTCTCCTCTCATGAAATGCTCGATTCCTTTCTCCATCCAATATGATTTTATGGGTCCTGGGCAGCATCTGGTACCTCCGCCATGTTGTGAAAGGAGCTATACACGTGTAATTTTGTTGTTGTTGTCGTCATCATTCACCTGTGAGCCCAGTTATAGCGATTGTTGACGGGCTATTTGTCTGCTGAACTTCATGCACTGTCCACACATGCTCACCTTGCGCTGCTCTCAAGATTGCAATCAGAGGCCCTACATTTCTCATCTTTTTAGCCTTGGTTATCTTAAATAATCATTTTAATACTAAGATCATGAGGAAGTTGGGGCCTCAGGAAAGCAACCCTTCCCTCCCCAAAGGAGCACGGATACTGTTTCAAGGCGACAATTTATGCACCGACTGAGAGAGATCACTCATTTCTCATTTTAAAATGTTTGTAAAATTCTTGGGTGTTTTATTGCATCTTCCACCGCCTCCTCTTCCTCCTCCCCTGCCCCTCCCCCACCCACACACACATACACACCCACACCAACTATTAGATTCATACAAGATCACAAGATTGATCTGGATGAAGGAGACCCTTCGGCCCATCCAATCTCATCCCATCCCCCATCACCATACCTCTAGCCACTGGTTCCAGTCATTGATCACATAAAGGAAACCCTCTTGGTCTTTATCTTGAAGTTGATAGTTACAAGTGTAAGCCTAAGTCCTCTTGCTTTACCAGTTTGATACATCTTAAAAGTATTGATCTGAGTTTACAATCCTTTTAAGATTTTATATACCTCTACGAGGTCCTCTTAGAGTCATCTTCTCTCAATACTGAAGAGCCCTAGCTTGTCTAATCATTGCTCATAACTCATTTCACCTCCAAAATATACATTCAATTCACTTTACAATATATCCTGTGAAGTGCTTTGAGATGTCTCAAAGATGTGAGAAGGCGTTGTATCCAATGCAAGGATTATTATTGTTATTATAATATTCCTCTAACTCTGAAGATCATCCTTATTACTCTGCTCTGCACTGCATCTATGGCCTGGGCAGCCCCTTTATGTCGCAGTGACTAGAACTGTATCAGTATTCAAGATCTGGTCTGACAAGAGCCCAATGTGAATATGGGACCTGGGGATCTAAACCCTACTAATTTAGCAATATAGCCCAGCTTCCTGTTTGCCTTGTTTGATTCTTACTATCAATAAGAATAATGTTATTCTTGAGAGAAGATGACTGAGAGGGATCCTCCTAGAGAAGCACAAAATTAAGATATGGCAAATAGATAGGAGAATAAGATGTTTCAGAAAGCCAGCACTGGCATGATGGACTGAATGGCTTCCTTCTGTGCTGTAAGTTACTATGATTCTACAGCTGGTGGTTTCGTTGACAAGATACACAGTCAAATCATTTTACAGTATATTTTGTTTAGCACTTTGAGATGTCTCGAAGATGTCTCAAAGCTATATCAAATACAAGGATTATTATTATTATTCCTGGCCTTTTAATAAAATTAAAATAGCTAAGTGTTCCTCGATGCTGGCCATACGTGCACTAGATGTAGTTACACAGATCTCTCACCAGCCCCTGGCCTCTCTGATTTTTGCGCTTGAGAAAAAAACATGTTGCTGCTGAAAAGTGATAACAAATAACTCCAGCAACATAAGTACAGCATTCGACTCCAGCATGACACACATTGTTATATTATACATTCAAATGAGTTCAAATAGAACACAGTTTGTAAATGCAAAATTATATGCATGTATACTGTAGAGAACCACATTTATCTTCATGAGAAGTATACATCTCTTCACCACAACTATATGATAAAAGCAAGAAAGATGAATATCATAATAATAATAATAATAATAATCCTTGCTTTTGATATACCTAATCAGTCAAGAAGAGGTACAATTGCATAGCCTTGATTTTTCACAAACAGTAAGGGCAAAAAAGAACTGAAGTCGTGAACTATCCGTTTGAACAGATAATTGACTTTTAACTGAAGTAGATTTGCTCAGTAATTTATTTTGAATAAATTAGAAACTAGGTTTCAGAAGGCGAACACCCCCATAACCTCAACATCACTCTTTGGAGTAAATGTTCAATTGTTTTGAAGATTCATAATAAAATACAATAAAATTTACAATTATATAATTGCCTTTCATATTGCGAAAACATTCCAAGGTGCTTAACAATACTGGCTTGGCATTTGAAGCCTGCTGGCCTTGGCAAAACTGCAGTGTGCCATCATCCACCCCCCAAACCCACCCTCCCACACACACACTTCTTCAGATAGCTGTGACTTTAAGAGAGATGAATTTACCTTAAAACTCCTGCAGGCCTCTGTTAGCAAACAGCACTCGCTGCAGCCCCTCACGTCTGCATTTTGCAGTCAAGCATTAAAAAATCGCTTCTCCCATTAATCTGCCATTTTAGGCAGCTACCTAGTTTGCTTACAGTTAGAG